CTGCAGTCTTCTCCCGCGCATATGAAACGGATTGTTATTTGTTTGTCAAGAGGCTAAAGCCGTATGCTTCGTGCTACCGTTCCCACCTTTACGGCCTCGAGGCTCCACGACTTGCCCGACGAGGCTAGGAGAGGGCACATCCTCTCAGCAGGGGCAGACGTTCAAAAACGGCCTCCTCACCACGCCACGTGCCTCGCCGCCTCGGCCTCCCCGGCCGCCGGGCGCCTGCGCCGTGGTGACGACAACCTGCTCCGTGGCCGCTCCGCCGCCGTGGCCGCCCCCGTCGGCGTCGGCGTCGGGTCCTCGCGACGGGAATTCGTCGTTGAAGACGGCCGGCAACCCGTAGTCGACGCACCACGGCGCGTCGAGCGAGAGGTAGGGCGGGAGCCCGCCTTTGTGCGCAGCGGAGAGCGCGTATGCGAGCCGAAAGAGCCCTGACGAGAATTTGCCCACCAGCGCGCTGCAGCGCGCGAGCAGCAGCGTCTCGACCAGGCCGGCCAGGACGCCTACTCTCGGAAATCTCGGCGAATCTCGGCGAGTCTCGGCGAGTCTCGGCGAATCTCGGCGAATCTCGGCGAGGGCGCCGTCGTGCGATCTTGCGATCGCCGCCGCATCGCCACTTGCGAAGCGGCGCTTGAGCAGCGTGTCGAGGATCTCAGGCGCCTCCTTGCCGCCCCCGCCGCTACGTGCCACGCTTGTGCAGATCAGCCCGCGGTCCGTGAAGGCTGCCCGAGACCCGCCGAGATCCGCCGAGATCCGCCGAGATCCGCCGAGATCCGCCGAGATGCACCGAGATCCGCCGAGATGCCTGCCGTCGTGACGTGTCACGTTTGTCATGACGGTCAGAAACCGCAGCCTCGGCCCGCTGCCACCGCCGCCTCCGCGCGCCGCCATGTCGCGCTCTGCCGCGCGCGCATCGGCGACCACCGCGGCGGAGTCGGTGGCGAGGAAGACTGTGCTGGCGCCCGCCGCCGCCGCCCATGGCAGTATCGCGCTCACGTACGCCGACAGCGGCTCGCAGGCACGACACGTGCGCGCCGCCTGCGGGGCGTGTCGGGAGGACTGTCAGCGGACGTGTCAGAGGAGGCAGTGGACGTGTCATGGGACGTGTCAGGAGTACGTGTCAGTGGATGTGTCATGGGACGTGTCGGGAGTACGTGTCGGTGGATGTGTCATGGGACGTGTCATGGGACGTGTCAGGAGTACGTGTCGGTGGACGTGTCATGGGACGTGTCGGGAGGACGTGTCGGGCGGAACAGCCAGAGGACGTGTCGGGTAGGAGTGCCAGTTGAAGGGCGTGTGAGGAGGACGTGTCGGTGTCGAGTGAGGAAGTGTCTTGGAAATGTCTCTCTCAGGCGTGTCTCGGAAGTGTATCGGAAGTGTCTCGGAAGTGTCTCGGAAGTGTCTCGAGGGTCTCGGAAGTGTCTCAGACCTCAACGGAGGCGCACGAGTCGCCGTGCCGCACGTGCAAACCAATCACCGTCTCGCCCGCCTAAGTTAGACTCAGCCCAAATGCGCAACTCGATCATTACTTTGCCGATCACCGCCTCGCCCGCCTAAGATAGACTCGGTCCACGATTGAGCCCAGCTCGTTCATTAATTTGCCAACCGCCGCCCTTCTCGCCTCCAGCGCCGCCGCCAGCCCGCTCTCGCGCGCCGCAGCGTCGACGCGCTCCTCGAGGCTCTGCGCGGGACGCGTCAGCTCCTCGAGCAAGTGCGACGCCCACCTGACCACAATGACCCAGCAGCCGCTCACATTGTCCTCTGCGAGCGGACCCCTCTAGCAAGTGCGACGCCCACCTGATCACAACGAACCAGCCGCTCACATTGTCATCTGCGAGCGAACGCCTCGAGCAAGTGCGACGCCCGCCAGAAGGCGCCCAAGTGCCGCCACGGCCTCGGGATCGCGTCGCCGCCGTGCGTCGCGAGCGACTCGCGCCGAAGCTGGGCGAGGTTGAGCCCGATCGCCGGTGCCGCGGCGCCGGCGGCCGTCGCCTCGCATGTGGGGCCGAGCGGCCGGAAGAAGCACCCGAGGTCGAGGCGCGACCGCCCCCTGCAGCGATCTGGTGAGAGGACTCCGGGGGCCTTTGGCGTCTGCAGCGCGAGCCCGAGCCGGATCGCGATCGTCCATGGCTTGAGCAGCGACCCGAGCATCGATGAGAAGCCAGAGAGGTGCAACTCGCGCTGCACGGTCGTCCCCGCACGGCACCGCTCCGCCTCTGCGCCAGCGGCCAGCGAGCGAAGGTGCGACTGCAAGCTGGCGCGGCGGCTGCGGCTGGTGAGCCGACCGCAAGCGGCAATATCCCGCCGCGACGGGAGCAGTCGCCGATTGTTCAGGACAAAGTCGGGCTCGACGCAGCCAAACGGCACCGGCGACACAGCACGGAAGGGGCCGACGCTGCCATCGCCACCACTGGCGCTGCCGCCACCACCACCACCCTCGCCACCGCCACGAGCACTGCCGTTGCCGCTGCCACCAGTGCCGCTGCTGCCAACACCATTGCCGCTGCCACCACCACTGGTGCTGGTCGCTCCGAGCAGCAGCTGGCCGACCGCCCAAACGAGCTGCAGCAAAGAGCCGCGCAGCATGCGGCAATGCCAAGCACGGTCCAACGCAAAGCGGCGGCGGTACGCCTCCTCCGCGTCCGCCGCCCAAGAAGCAGCTCCACTCAGGGCGCCCTTTGGGCCGGAGGGCCGCACCTCGAGAGAGTGGAAGCCGGGCGCCTGGCCGAGGCGGCGGAGGTCGCAGCGGCTGTACCAGGAGCAATCGTCCTCCGTCGGGGAGTAGGTGACGAACCGGCACGAGGCGCAGAGGCGGCAGCGCGCGGCGCAGTCGGCGAAGGAGAGGACATGGTGCGCCTGAGTGCTCCACGAGCCTGACCCGCCACGCGCGCACGACCCCTCGACGCCGTCGTTTGTCACTGCGCAGAAGCCCGGCCGCGACGCGTTTCCAGGCCACGTCGCCACGTCGATGCCGTACTCCCCACCGCCATCGCCACCACCACCACCAGCGGCGGCGGCAGCGCGGCCGCCTTCGCCCCGCACATCCGTTGCTGGGGCAGCGGGCAAGCGCGGCGGCGGCGGCGAAAGCGTTTCGCGACAGCTCTGCGCTGGGAGCGGCGGCACCTCGCGGGCTGTGGTGGACCGGAATGAGAGGAGTGACGCCGCGGGCACAACCCAACCGACGGTCGCGTTGGTGCCGCATCCGCGAACCTCCCGGTACGCCGCTGCCGCCGCTCCCGCCGCGCCCTCGCCCGCCGCCGCAGCCTCGCCCGCCGCTGTGCCGTCGGCCGAGGCTGCGGCCAGCGCGTCCACCACCGCTTGCACGGTGCTCGCCGCCACGCTGTCGTGTGCCGTCCATGGGTCCGCCCGAGGCGACGCATCGTACCTCTTCCGCAGCGCTCTCATGACGCCTTCGATACCACCCAGCTCCGTCGCTCCGCCGCTCCGCCGCAAACCCGCAGCTGCAGCGCCGGCCGACGCCGCGGCCGGCGGGTCGAGCAGCGCCGCGCCGCGCCGGCTGAGCACGAGCGTCAGCGGCGCGGGCGTGAAGCCGGCTCCGCCTTCGCCTGAAGCAGCCGCAGCGTGACCCCGCAGGGCGCCCCACATCCGCCCTCTGCTGCCCCGCCCACCGCCGGTGCCGGTCTGCGCGGGCATGCGGCGCCGCCGCACCTCAAACAGTCTGTCGCGCACGTCGAGCGGCGGAGGCGAGGCCTCTCCGGCAGCGCAGCGCTCGTACACGAACAGCCGCAGTCGCGCCGCGCCGAAGCCTCCCGGCCGCGCCACCCGAAACCCGTCAAGAAGAGCCGGGAGCGCTCGCATCAGAGGCGCAAGCGGCGTCCGGTCACAGCGGGTTAGGACGACGTCGAGCGTGACGCGTAGCGCGGGTCCGACTAGTGCGTCGAGTGAGAGCGGCAGCGAAGGGTGCTGCGCCAGCACAGGCATGTATGCACGCTTGACGCTGCCAAAGAGCTCGCGGGAAATCCTCACGGTCTCCGGCGAAGCGGCCGCACAACCGGCGGCCCGCAGGCGCTCAACGATGCGCCGAGGGCACGCGAAAGTGGAGGAGCAGATGTCCGTCTCCTCGACGAGGAGGAGAGCAGCGCAGGCGCTGGACGCTGTCATCGGACGTTATGTCAGACATATATGTATAACAAATAAATAACATGAGGACTTGTGAGCCGGACCACCCCCTCTTGAACCCTGCGTTGTTGAGCCAGGACTCAACATACTCGGGCTGTCGCCGTCCCAAACTGTCACTCCCCTCTCTCCCGGCCGGGGTGGGGCGCGCGCGGGGGCGGCGGGTGTGCGGGATGTCTGTGGGCCCGTTGGGTTGTAACATTCTGCTGTGAACGGCGAAAGCAGGATGCCCCCGTCGGGGCGTCGGGGGCGAGGCCGTCGGGTGGGTGGCGGACGGGCGGCGGGCGTGGCGGCTGCGTGCCGGGAAGGCGGTGGAGGAGATCTCGAGTTCTACTCAGCTAAGGGCCGCACTTGACGCTGTAAGCAGCGCGCGGCGAAGCAGTTTGGCGCTTGTGGTGAATCAAATGGGAATCTAGCCCAAGCAAGGTCGGAGAGTCGTGTCATAGGAGAGGAGAGAGTGCGTGGAGATGTTTTGTGCGGGATCAGGCCCGAGTCCCTAGTGTCGCCGGATCGAAGCAGGTAGCTGCTAGCTCCCTTTTTCGTAAAGGAATAGTTTTCCCCCCGATCCCCTCCTCGCTGCCCGGCGCGTGAGAAACTTAGCGGGCTCCGCGCTGGGGCTCCGTGGGGGGTTTCGTGTGTGTGTTCCTCGATTGGTCCCCGCCTGCGTGTGTGTGTATTGCCGGGCGCCTCGCATTCTGTGTACTCTGTCCGCTGCACCTTTGCACTACCTAGATCGGCTTTCTTTATTAGTGGTCACGTCGCCGTTTTTGTATTAGCCTGAACTTCTCCTCTAGACTCGTCTGCGGCCGTGTGCAGGTGGCGCTCGAGAGGGGCTACCGCGCGGCGTCAGCCGTCAGCCGTCACTTGCGGTAGTGCGGGACGGGCTTGCCCGCCGCCTCCATCTTTGCGCGGTGCTCCTCCTGCGACCGCTTGAGTCGCTCCGCCGTCAGTCCCGCCGAGTGCGTGCCTACAGCGAGTCCAGAAGACGCCCCTGGACGCTTCCTGGAAAGTACCCGTCCCCTCCGGCCGAGAGAGAGCGCGCCAAGCTTCTCCTGCCCGCGCGGCGGCGCCGCCGGCCCTCGCGCCGCCTATTGCCCGAGATCGCGCGAGATCGCGCGAGACCCGAGATACCGCGCCGCCAAGCTCCGCTCGCGCCGCCTTTGGCGCGCTCAGCTTTGAACGGATGGACGAGACCGCGGCTTGCGTCTCGACGACGGCGTCTGGGTCTGCGGCGGGGCCTCCGCCTCGCAGCCAGTCGCGCGGCCGCTTGGCGGAGGCGGAGGCGGAGGCGGAGGCGGAGGCGGAGGCGGAGGCGGCGGCGGAGGCGGGGGCGGAGGCGGAGGCGGAGGAGGAGGAGGAGGGCTTGAGGGGCAGTGCTTGGCTGCGGGCGAGCGCCGAGCTGCCCTGCCGCGCCATCGCCTGCGCGCGAGGAGAGTCGGCACCGCGCGGGCCGGAGTACCTACGTCATCAGCCACGAGCAGCAAGAGTTGGGAGGGGGGTGTGCTGCAGCCCTGCGTGCTGCAGCAGGACGCGTGTCGGCGCGAGTGCTACTGCCACCTGCCCTCCGTCTCCCCGCGTCCGTGTTCCGCATCTGTGTTCCGCGTGTGCCGCCACGGCTCGCGGTGGTCTTGGCCAGACGGCCTCGGCGACGACGCCGCGGAGCTCTCCGCCGCCTTCTCCTCTGCCTCGCGCCGCACCTGCTCGCGCAGCTGCTCGAGACGGCGCAGCTCCGCCACCCGCTCAGCGACGTACGTGTCTCGCCTATTAATTAATCATTGCAAAGCATTAGATTATGGCCGGACGTCCCGGGCGACGAGCAGAGACAGTCTCGCCTCCCGTTCTTGTTGGAGATGGTGTCGTACGCCTCGCTCAGCTTGGCGAAGCCCTCCTCGCGCTTTGGGTGCTGCGACACGTCCGGCGCGCAGCAGCGCGAGAGGTCGTCGTACACGCGCCGGAGGACGAGGTCGCCGGGAGGCGTCCAGAGGAGCTTGCCGTCCGCGTCGTAGTGCGGCTCGGGCAGGCGCAGCCGCGCGAAGAGGCTCTTGGCCTGCAGCAGGTGCAGGATCCCCGCCTCCTGCTCGCGCAGCGGTATCCGGCGCTCCTTTGCCTCCTGCCGCGCAGCCTCGACCGCGGCCGCCTCGTCGAGAGTGGCGCCCTGGTGGACCCGGCCAGAGGCCTCGGTCGCGCCGCCGCGTCCGCGCGGGTTGTCGTCTTCCTCCTTCAGAAGCGAGAGGACGTCCATGTGGGTGCCGTCTGCTCGCTCTGCCCACCAGGCGCGCCTCACACTCACAGCCGAGAAAAAGAATTTTACGATTTTCCTCGCACAACACTTAAAAAAGAACGTCGCCAAGAAGAAGACCTTCGAGAGCCTCATCGTCGACAACAGGGTCGAGGTCGCGCGCGCGGCGGGCAAGGCCAAGGCGATGGCGGTGCGCGACGGGATCGGCTTCTGCCCGGCCTTCAACCAGACCGCCATCCCGTGCAAGACCGCCGCTCGCTGCCGCTACGCGCCGTGCGTCAACTTCGAGGCGCTCCTCCACTCCGCCTTCAAGGACACTATCTACGAGCGCATGCCGAGCGCGGTCAGGCTGGGCACAAGCCGCGGGCGGCGCGGGCGCGGCGGCCGCGGCGGCGGCGGCGGCGGCGGCGAGGTCAAGAGCAACAAGAAGAACTGGGCGAGCGTCGCCCGCGGAGCCGCCCGCTCCTCCTCCGACGGCGGCCCACTCCTCGAGTCCAACGAGCCCTCCCTCTACGAGGGGAGCGACGAGGATTTCTAGGAACGGCCGCCGAGCCCTTCCCGCAGCGCAACCCTAGCAGCGCAGCGGGCAGGGCGGCTCGCGCAGCGCGCGCGCGATCGAGCGAGGGAGCGAGCGAGCGAGCGAGCGAGCGAGCGAGCACACACACACACACACACACACACACACACACACACACACACACACACACACACACACACACACACACACACACACACACACACACACACACATGTTGTACACATGCACAGACACACAGCCCCTTCCCCTTCCTCAAGGGCGAGGACACGCGCAGGGGTCGCACTTCTAGCGAGGCCCACAGAGTGGGAGACTCCTATCACCGCCACTGCCACCCACGTGTCAGTCTGCCTGTGGTAGAAGAGACTGCCGGTGAGACGTCGGAGGAAGGTCGCTAGTCGAGAGAGATCGCCAGTGGATAGGGAGTCCACCGTGCTGCGAGCCTGTCGCTGTCCCTTGTCAGGAGCAGGAGAACTAGGAGAGCGCAACCAGTAGGAGGCCCGCGCTTGCCCCCGTGCCGCCGGGTGCAACCTGTCCTATACGAGAGATGGGATTCCTGTCGTGAGGGTGAACCCCCTGCCCAGCCCCCCTCCGTGTCGCGATGCGCTCCCCGCTCCCGTTCCCCTGTGTCCCTGATCGTCCTACAAGATCCTGCTTGTGCAGGTGGGGACCCTGTCCTTCTCCCACCCCTCGTTTGGCGTGTCCGTTGTATTTATTTATTTATTTATTCGGTGCGTCATCGGCTCGTCAAGGTTGGAGAAGGGGAAGGGGGGGATGGGCGGTCGGCGAGGGGGTGGGGTAGTTAGTCGCAGGGAGGGAGGGCGTCGTATGGGGTCAGTCGTTCACTTTCCTGCCTCGCAAAAGGGCGGGGCTTTGGCCTTTATACGCTTTTCTTCATATTCTATATTCTTTTTCGAAGCGATTTTCAGCGATTTTTAGCCGGAATATAAAGAATATTCGAGAATATAGGTAGGCCCTATTTGGAGCCATATTCTTGCCATATTCGAGAATATAGACCCTATTTTGGAGAAGAATACGGAAAGAATACGCAAAAAGAATCTAGATAGTACTCGGCGAGAAAAGCGTATAAAGGCCAAGCGGGGCTGTCCCGGGAAGCCGGGCAGCGTGACGCCGCCACCTTTACCTGCGTGTGCGTGTGCGTGTGCGTGTGCGTGTGCGTGTGCGTGTGCGAGCGCGCGTGTGCGCGTGCGTGTGCGTGTGCGTGTGCGTGCGTGTGCGCGTGCGTGTGTCGCACGACACTAGGCACGGGACTGGCGCGCACTGGCACTAACACAGGTACACCGCGGGAGCCGCCTAAGCGACTCCTGCGAGGGCGGCGAGGGGGGCGAGGCACTTAGCTCCGTAAAAAGAATTTCAAACTGCCAACAGCTGCCTCGCACGACACTGGGCACGAGGGGACTGGCGGTGGCGCGCACTGGCACTAACGCAGGTTACACCACGGGAGCCGCCAAAGTGACAAAAATACTTTTTACCTTACTAGGCACGGGACTGGCGCGCCTTCCCGAAAACCCACCGAACGAGCAGAAGAATTTTACGATTTGATCTGCCGATTCCGCCGCAGAGAGTGGCGGTCGAGGCCAGGCCGTGCGCGTGGGCCGGTCGGGCTCGGTGCCGCGGCGGGCGACCGGGCGCCGCACGGCTGGCCCCGTCGGCCGAACGGCGCCGCCGAGCGGCCGGGCGCTTCGGGTTGGGCCCGCCGGCCGGCCGGGCGCCGGCTGGCATGGACCATGGTCGGCCGGGCCCCCGGGAGGCAGGGGCGGGCGCGGTCGGGAGGGGGCCGCCAAATCGACCAAATCGAAGTGGGGTGCCGCTACTTTCAATGATAGGGATTGTTGGCATAATATGCACCTCCGCACCGGTGGTGTGCCGGTGTGTGTGCTAGTCTGCGCCATTCCGCACCCTTGTTGTGTCAGTGTGCTGTGACTCGCCATCGATGCGTCTCCTCTTGCGCCGAAGCGACAAAACAAAGAGTTGTTTGGTATTGCGCCCAGGGCACAACAACAACACACAAAAACAACACTCTCGCGCCGAAGTTATGTTTTTTTGGTGTACCTGTGTTAGTGCCAGTGCGCGCCAGTCCCGTGCCCAGTGTTGTGCGAGGGAGTTTTGCTTCGCATTTTGACCGCGCACTCGCGAAGTTCTTTTTTTACAAACCGAGATTGCCGCCGCCTTTTGGTGCTTTGCTTTGGCTGTGGCAGTGTAGCCCCGTTATCGCGCCATCGCGTGGAGGCGGTAGGGCGATTTTTCGCCGCCGATATGGGGTGGCCTGTCTGCGCCCTCGCCGCCCTGGCTCGCCTCGCTCCCGACTACCGGCGCTCCCTTAGCGCGCACATGACGAACCTGCGCGAGGACAAGGTCGGCGACGGCTCCGGCTACGACCGCTCGGCGCCTCCAACGTCTTTACGCCTGGAGCCGAATGTATCCCAAGCCGGGACGGACGTGCGCGTACAGCTACGGTTCTTCAAACTGACTGAGGTGGCCCTAGATCGGGGCTCGCTCACTGCCAAGGTCTGGTGGCGGATGAAGTGGCAGGACACGAGGCTCGCTTGGAACGAGAGCGCATACGGCGGCATCACGCAGGCCGAGTACGCGGCAGTCTCGTACTCGGACCAAGAGTCGACCGAGATCTGGCTGCCCGACATCACGCCGTACAACGGCAAGTTCGGGCTGATGGACTCGTTCGACCCCGCCGTCGCGCGCGTCACCTCCTCCGGCGACGTGCAGTGGAGCCGCCCGGGCAACCTGGAGGTGCACGGCTGCGTGCCCCCGTCGTGGTGTGAGCAGCGTCTCTTCACGTGAGCAGCGCCTCTTCACGTGTTCTGTGAACAGGTGCTCTGCCGCTTCTCGGGGATGATGATGTTCCCGCTCGAGGAGGACATCGAGTGCGTGGTCGAGATCGGCGGCTGGTATCGCTCGGGCGGCTTTCAAGGAGTGTGCTGCCCACACACACACACACACGCGCGCGCGCACGCACGCACGCACGCACGCACGCACGCACGCACGCAGCACGCACGCACGCACGCACACGCACACGCACACACACGCACGCACGCACGCGCGCGCGCACTGGGCCCTGCACTTTGAATGCCGTGGGGCTCCTGTCGTCTAGACGTGGAGACGCGAGGGTCGCCCCCCCTTGCCCCACCACCTTGTGTGTGTGGAGAAGTTCACCTTACCTACCTTATTTTCAAGGCGTGCTGCCCTACGTCGACGGCGACGGGCAGCCCGCCTGCGCCATCGAGAGCACAACGGAGGAGTCGTCCCTCTACTCGTACACGGAGCACGAGATCGCCTACCTGGAGTGCGAGACCGATGTGTACCAGTACGACTGCTGCCCCAACGAGCCGTGGCCCATCCTCAAGGTGCGGATCCACTTCCATCGCGCGCTCGCATTCTACACGCTCGGTTTCATCGTTCCGGTCGTCATCTTCACCGCCGCCTCGTTCATGGTCTTCTTGATGGGCGAGAAGAGCGGCGAGCGGATCGGGCTCGGCGTGACGCTGATGCTGGTCATCGAGGTGACCAAGTACACCGTGCAGGCGTGGCTGCCAAAGTGCGGCGAACTCCTCTGGATGGACCTCTTCATCTTCGTCAACACCTGCTTCACCGCGGCCGCGCTCTTTTGGTCGGTGATCGTGCTAGCGCTCACCTACTCGGAGCTGCACACAGACGACAAGATCTCGGTCTCCGCCCTGTTTAGTGGCTGGCGGCCCTTCCTCGACCACCTGCGCAGCCGCGGCTGGCTGCCCTGCTCCCCAGACAAAGAAGGAGCCGAGGGCGCCATCCAAGCCGTATTTGCCGCGAAGCACAAAGCGGCGACCTCGCTCGCGCCTCTCCGCACGATGGCGGGCTTCAACTTGACGCCGTGCGGCCAGCTTCGCGAGCAAACCAGCTGGCTGCGTGTCGTGCCTGCGCTGGGCCTCCGGTGGGTGGAGCTCGAGGCAGGCTGGTCCCCTCCCCCCGGCTGGAAGCCGCTTCCGGTGGGCAACGCCGCGCTGAGGAAGGTTGCGCGCGCCTTGGGCGAGGCGGCGTCGTGCGGCGTGGCGACCCTCAGCATGGACCAGTTCGAGCGCTTCGGGCTCATCGGCGCGGTAGGCGACAAGAGCTTCGTCGAGGCGAAGGACGAGACCACGGGGAAGGTGTGCTGTCGCACACGAAACACACACACACACACACACACACACACACACACACACACACACACACACACACCGCTGACTCACCCACGCGCACTGGGCCTTGCACTTCTAATGCCGTAGGGCTCCTGTCTCTTCTAGACTTGGAGTCGCGAGCCCCCTCCCCCTGCACCTCGTGTGTGTGTGAAGTTACCTTACGCCTTACCTTACCTCACCTTTAGGTGTCGCTGTTCCGCCCGGTCCGCCTGTCGAACCGGCTCGCCAGCAGCCGGTTCAGCAGCGCCGCGGCCGTCGGCGACGCGGCCTCGATG